CCGATAGATCCATGCTTGTAGTTCCTCAAACCAAAACTATCATATTACTATGCATTTCAGTTCTCAAAACCTGGAGTAAGCACCAATTTTAATGGGTTGTACAAGGCCATAATATATTCCTATACTATTCCCTTATATTTTTCAAGATAGTTCCAACTAAAACCAACCTTTCGAGAATTAATTTCAGTTTATGTTTTCCATTAAATGATGACTTGTCACTTAACAAAAGTTGAACAATAAACACACTTGAGTAAACCGAATGAAAATTACACAAGCAATTAGAATAACAAATTAATCTTCATTGCAACTTTGTTTCCATCAATAATCCTAGCTAAAGAAGTTTAGCTCATGTTCGGTGCAAGGTAATTAGAAATAATAACAATAATCAAATCCATTTGTCACAGAGAGTAAATACAGACATATAGAAGGAAATGATTAAGCTAAAGTCTGGATGCTCAGTAGGCCTTTGTCCTTGCTTCCATTTTGCCCCATAAACTAGCTCTGCCTTTCCTCATTCTTTTTCTTTCTTTCTTTAGCTTCCTTTGTGTAATTCTACGCCTCCTCCATTTTCTGCCCCCCCCTTCAGTACTCTTCTTTTTCCTTTTATATTAGGGCAGGATGAGGTACCCTAATTACATGTGTTCACCTCAGAGCCAAAACTGATGGTCCCCGCTTTAGTGCTCTTACAACTGTCCCCTCATGTCAGTCGGTAATTTGGACCACTGCCAGCTGTACATGAAAACAAATTGCACTAGCTTGCACCTTTTGGTTGCATCTGTGTTGCTATAGCTTTACTGCAGCAATGGGTTCATTCATGCCTTCACTTCCTTTACCGTGCTTGTCTTTCAAATTGCTTTTACCAACACTGCCCTGTTGCTTTCCTGTACTAATTACCCAAAGCCAACACACCTGCATTGAACATGATGACTAAATCCATGTTATAATGAGATTGCTCCACAAATATCAACCTTCTATCAACTAAATAAAAACTAACGAATGTTATACAAACTTCCTCTATAAAACTGGTCACATTCCTCCCCCACACCACATGCCCACTTAAAGTTCCCCAGCAAAGACTCGTCACTATCTCGGAGTCGGGATCGCTACGGGTGTCGCCTCGGATATCGTTGTGTTAGCGTTTATGCCCTTAGGAATAAATGTAACGATGTTCTTTGAGACATTTTGACTATTAATAAAGATTTATTTATTTCATATATCTATGCATTGTCCTCTTTATGTTCATATTAGTTGAATGTATGATAAGCAAACTGAAAGTCTGAGATTGTCATTTTAAATCTTTAGGTCAAGCATGTAATGTGAAGAACATGCGGAAGACAAAAATCTAAAGATGATAGTCTAAATCATATGATCCACAATCGAGGAAATAAAGTTGGGCGCTTTATTCATGTTAAGATTGTTATGTTGTCTACTTCCTAATGGAGACGACTTGTCTTGGTTGTCGAAGGTGGGATTCCATGGGTGGAGACATTGATATAGTTTCTAATGGTGAAATCTATATTGGATTAGACCAAAGTTGAATTGTTTTAATTAATAATTTTGTTTGAATAAAACAATTCACTTTTGACGAATTATATGTCATCATCTTAATCTTGAGATGGACAATGAGCCCGTATGCTTGACTTGTATCCTTTGATGTACTAAGGGGCGACATCCTGACATTATGTAAAGGTACGCTTACCGGTACATTATGGGTATGACTCGTGTATGCGTAGATTCGTTATTCATAGATAGTGGAATCCATAGCTCCTATAAAGAGTCAATGATATCCTCTTATGCATTATCAGTGGATTAGAAAATAAGAGCGTTCGGCCATTAGACTACTGTTGGTTACCGAATCAAATTCGGATACGGAAGCGTGGGGGAGGCAGATCGTGTATAACAAAAATGTTCATAAAACCTTTGAGATACTTTATGGATTATATTAATTTATGCACGAATAAATTAATCACATTAATTTATTTATTAAGAACTCAACCATGAATAATACCTGGCGGCCGATTAGGATGATAACTTGAGTTCTTTGGGCTCGAACAATCCTTGCTCCAAAACTTTGTGTTTAGAAAACTAATGTCTTCCACGTCAATTCCTAGAATCCATGAAGATGTGTGTGTGGGCACACATGAGACAAAATGGGTTAGAATAAACACTCGAATTTCCACAAACACCAAAGCATGCACGATGTGAAATTTTTGGAGATAAATTTTTCCTTCCCCCACTCTAAGAGAATTTCGGCCAGCCTCTGTAATTAGGGCAAAAAATTCTGTCTAAAATTGTCTCACGCAATTTTCTATCATTCTCTTATTATAGAGTAGAAGTCAAACTTTTAGAAGGAATCCAATCTCTATCTCCAAGATAAAGCTTGTTAATTATCTCCTGTTTGAATTTCAAACAAAATCTCCCATTCCCTTATCCTTAGTGTGGCCGGCCACCATAGGGAATTCTCATCCCTGTGTGGCGCCAATTTGTAGATAGGGAAGGAAGAGAAAATCATCCTTTATCCTGTAGTCTAATTTTGACTCAAATTCAAATTCCAATTTAAGTCAAACTTAAATTAATTTGAATTCTAAATTAAACAACTTATCAAATAAGTTTAAATGGATAAATCTAGATGTGTTCAAATTTAAATTTAAATAATCACATTATTTAAATAATAATTAATTCTCAATTAATTATTTTCGAGTGTTTAATTTTTAGAATTCCGTAATTCTAAAATTTCCATTTTGCCCTCTGTGTCTGATAGAATTACTAGGACGATGCGGGGACTAATGGACCTATAATCCCGAGCTCTAATAAAATTAATAATTAATTAAACACTTTAATTAATTAATTAATTCTATTAATTCCAATATTACTCCACTATAAACTTGGAAGTGCACTCTCAAAATTATAGATTTAAATTACTTCTAAACTGTGAAGTGTCCATTCGATATAGTCACTGCATATAG